AGGTGTGGGGCGGCCACGGTTACATCAAGGGTAACGGGATGGAGCAGATTGTGCGAGATGCCCGCATTGCGACCATCTACGAGGGCACGACCGCGATTCAGGCGAACGACCTGATTGGGCGCAAGGTGCTGAGCGGCAAGGGCGGTGCCGGCAAGGACATCTTTGCTGCCCGCGTGGCGGAGATCAGCGAGCGGCTGAGCGGCGACAAGGTGCTGGGCGGCTATGCGAAGCGGCTGGGTGCTGCGATAAAGGAGTGGCAGGAGTCGATCCCACTGCTGAAGAAGGCGAGCGCCGCTGATGCGGACTCGATGGGAGCGGCTGCGGAGGACTTCCTCATGTACTCCGGGTACATTGCGCTGTCGTACTACTGGCTGCGGATGGCTGAGGTGTCGTCGAAGAAGATTGCTGCCGGCGAGGACGCGGATGGGTTCCACCAGGCGAAGGTGGACACGTGCAGCTACGTGTTTGAGCGCGTCCTGCCCCGCGCGAAGACGCACTACGAGGTGATGCTTGCCCCTGCCTCGTCCGCCAAGCACGAGGCCTGGGACCTCAACTAAGCAGTCGGTAAAGAACTGGATTTAAAACGAAAGGTTTTGACGGTTAGGTGAAAAAGTAGCCATGAAGCGGGTTAAAAATAAAACGATAACGTGATGAAAAAAAAAAAAACAAAAAACAAGTATACTGTGGAATCCATATTTGCTATTTTTGTTGTTTGTGTAGTTTTGTGATCGCAGGCCAAAGGCGAAGATGCGGCAATAGCTAGGAATAAGACAACGGTCCATTTACTTCTGAAATCGAATACTATAATCTCTTTGTTTTATTTTACACAAAGTGTGCTAAAAGAGTAACAAGAGCGTCAAAAAACAGTTTACTCGCTTTTGTTTTTATTTTTTGTTGGTTTGCTTTTCTGTCCACTTCAAAAAAAAAGATGGGCTATGTTCGCGTTCTGTACTACTGTAGTGCCGCTGCGTTGCTCCTCTCCTTCTTTCTTGTAGGTTTACAATCAGACGGTATGTTGCGGATGACGAGACAGGCCATGACAGAGTACCAGGCGCCCAGCGAGCGGCGGCGTCCCCTGCTGCGGTATCAACCAGAGTTGACCAAACTGCCCCGCTCACTGATCGACAAGTTTGAGCTGAGCCACCAAGACGCGGAGACGAGCGAGTTTCTAGATAAGGCGAAGGAGTTAAGTCTGCTGGGCGTTTTTTTCTCCAACGTTTTGTCGTCCTTCTTCTCTCGCACCACGTCGAATGGTATTACTGGTCGTGGGTTCATGTATGTCTTTTCCACCGAGCAGGCACGGCGACTACTGCGGCCGGCGGGGGTTTCCCTAGAGGAGTACGAAGCTGGGAAAGGGACGGAGGCGAAGTTTGAAAAGCTGCTAGACATTGGCGCTGGGGATGGTGGTGTTACGGAAAAGTTAGAGCCGCTGATGGGCGACGTGCGTAATATATTTGCGACGGAGTACTCCCGTACGATGCGGTGGCGACTTGGGCGCCGGGGGTATACCGTCCTAGGGCACGAGAACCCTTTCGAAAAGGTGAACCCCACGACACAACAACCCGAGCGGTCGAGCTACGACCTCATCGCTCTTCTGAACGTGCTAGACCGTATTGACACCCCACTAGATATTCTGCAGAACATACACGCCTCCCTCACCCCGAGTGGGTATCTGCTGCTGGCGGTGGTGCTGCCGTGGTGCCCTTTCGTAGAGGAGGGGAAGCGACAGGTCCGCCCCTCCCAGTCTCTGCCGATGGACGGCGGAAAGTGCTGCGAGGGTGCCAAGTTCGAGGACTCCTTCTCCCGTCTGGTGGAGAATGTGCTGGAGCCGGCGGGGTTTGAGCTCGTGCGGTGGACCAAGCTGCCGTACCTGTGCCAGGGAAATCTGAAACTAGAGTACGCCGTCTTGCACGACGCGGTGATGGTTTTACGGAAAAAGGAGGAACAGGCCCCGTGAGAAAAGATTCCTAACTATAACAATATTGCTAATTTGCTGTCCACAATAGGGGAGACATAATACCCCCTTTCGATCGCTAAAGTCACTTTTTTGATACGACCGCGAAAAAAGAAAAACATTATCATTTTTTCCTTCTTCACTCCTGTTCTACAATGTTGCTCTTTATCCCCCTTTTTGGATTACTATTTTAGGAGTTTATTAGTTAGAAGTAAAGCTTTCGTATGAGTGGCGCACCTCCCCCGACACTCCCTCCCGGCGTACGGCCCCCGCTACCACCAGGCGTGCGACCGCCGCTGCCCCGAGGAGCGCCCCTCCCGCCAGGAGTGAAGTCCGCGCCCCCGCCTCCCCCAGGACCACCAGGGAACCAAGGCTACGTGCAGCCGCCAGGACCCCAGGGTAATCAAGGCTATCCACAGCCTCCCTCCGGGTATAACGCTCCTCCTCTCATGAACAGCAATCAGCTCTCGCGGCCGCAACAGCAGGGCTACCCACCCCAGCAGCAGGGTTATCCGCCACAACAGCAACAGCAGGGATACCCCCCACAACAAGGATACCCCCCACAGCAAGGCTATCCCCCGCAGCAACAGGGATATCCACCACCACAACAGGGATATCCGCCTCAGCAGGGATACCCACCACAGCAGGGATACCCTCCCCACAGTGACAATCGGTACCACGACCGTCAGCCCCGCCGCCACCGCGAGCTGGATAGGAGGGACCCCACCAACACCGTTTGGATCGGCAACTTGGATCCGTCGTTCTACAACTTTAAAAAGCTCCGACCGCACTTGAAGCCGTTCGGTAAAGTTATGCGAATTGCGGAACACTTCGCGAAAGGCTTTTGTTTTGTGCACTACCGCACCGTCGCGGAGGCACAGAACGCGGTAGACACCCTCACCGCCTCCCGCGCCCTCGGAGACGCCAACTTCAATTATGGCAAAATGTTCCAGTACTCCCAGCAGGAGCTGGAAGAGCCCCACGACCCTAACGCCCCGGACCTGGACCAAGACGACCACCGTCCCCCTCCACGTAGACGTGACCACGACGCGCCGCCGCACCACGAACGGCGTCGGAATGAGGCTACCCCGACCAACGTGCTCTGGATCGGCAGCGTGCCCCCCTACTTCACGGAGGAAAAGCTACGAGAGATCTTCGAAGTCTTCGGTACCGTTACCTCCGTCACTCGGATGGAGCGCAACAACGTCGCTTTTGTGTATTACGAGACGATAGAGCAATGCACCGAGGCGCTGGAGCGCATGCGTGGTAGGGCGGTCGAGAACGGCGTCGTGCTGGCCCTCAACTACGGTAACGTGCGCACGCCCGGTCGGCTAGAGTTAGATGCCAACGGGCTGCCCGTCGGCGAGGCCCCCACGAACGTTATTTACTTTGGTCAGTTACCTGCCAACACGGAGGTGAGTGACTTGGAGAAACTGCTGTCGCCTTTTGAGGGCTTCATTAGCGCCAAGTATGTGGCGTCCAATAATATTGGGTTCGGACACTTCTACACCTGGGAGCACGCCAAGGTGGCGAGACTAGCGCTGCACGATGCCACCGTGAAAGGTGCTCCCATCCGAGTCAGTTTTGGCAAACAGAACCACAACCTGACCCCGGAGGAGATCGCCGCGGCGACCGGCGGAAGCGGCGGACTCGACCTAGACGCCATGATGCAAACGGACCCAGACCACCACAATATTGGTGGTAGCGGTGTCGTCGCCCTCTCCAACGGTGGCGGTGGTGGTGCCCTGACTCTTCCCGCGATGGGCGGCCCAGCCCCGCAGGAGGCGAACGCGAACTCTATTTTCAAACGGGAGCGCGAGGCACCGACGGTGGACCTGGAGGCGGAGCTGCGCACCTTGCTAGGTTGCATGTACAATAGTTGTGGCGCCAAGGACGCGGAGCTGGGTCGGGTTCAGCTGATGCCGCTCTGCTCCCGTGTGGACCAGTGTGTCGACAGCGAGACGGAGAAGGAACTCACCGAGACGATCAAGCTGTACACGCCTACCTATTCCGTGCATGTGTTTAACACCATTGCGAAGCGAATGGCGGAGTTCTTCGACGACGATTTGCACAAAAAGTTGTTGATTACCTACGCCACCACCCGCGCCCTCCTCTCCACCAAGATTGAGCAGACGTACTTTAATGAGGCGGCGCTCAATAGTTTTCTGATGGTGCTGCTCGTCGCCAGCCACGGCCAGGCGGGCGCCGGAGCCGACCGTCTCCACTCTATCATTGAGTACTTGCTGCCCCACCGCTTCCTGGATGAGAAGGTGAAGGCGACGGACGACTACCGCGCCTCTTTCCGTGAACAGCTGACGAAGATGCAAACCAACATGAAGGCACAGCAGGACTTGGCCTCCTTGCTGACACGCCGCAGACGAAACTAACAATAATGAGAAAAAGGGATAAGTTAAGTGAATACGTAATCGACAGATATTAATGAGTACTTATTTTGCTCTAAAGTGGAAATAAATTCTTAAAATAATTGTACTGAATCCTTTCCTCTCCTTCTTCTAGTAGCGCTTGATGATGTGGTTTAGTAGAGGAATCCCCCTTTTGTCATCTCTTCCTCTTTTTCTCCCTGTCTTTTCTTTGTTTCTCTCTCAAAATAATGGCGAAGATGAACTGTTTATGAGCATGACTTTTCCTTTTCTTTTTCCTCTTTACTTTTTGAAGAGCTGTAGAGGACAATAGCAAATGATAAGACAACAACAGCAAAATAAGCACCCTGCAGAAAAGTGTTTCTTTAAAATGTATTTGTGGTATAGGCACTGCACAGTGAAGTGCTTCCTATCTTCTTCTTGTGGCATTGACGCATCCTCCCCCTTCTCCTTCTGTTATCATTTCTGCTTCTTTTTACAATGTAAACCTGCTCTGCTTATTATGGTGGTGAACATCATCAAACCAAAGCAGCATCAGTACAGCGAACGGGGAAAATCAAGTTCCTTGCCTCGCTGGCGATGTAGCGAGAATCCATCATAAAATGCTTTCATTCTCATTGTTTTCATGCGATCATTGCTGTTGTCACGCAACACTGGTAAATGAAAAGCAGCATCAGTACAGCGAACGAGGAAAATCAAGTTCCTTGCCTCGCTGGCGATGTAGCAAGAGTAAACTTTAAAAATACTTGCACCACATTTTTTTTTTCTTTTTCTTTCTTTCTATTTGCCGTCGAATAAACGCACTCCAATGAGAAAATACAAAGTAGATATTCCTCTCCTCTCTTTCACTCTCTCTTTTATAGTATCTTATAGGTTTCCATTTTTCCCTTTTCATCCACCGTTCATGTCAGAGGCCTCTTCACGTAATGAAGTGCTAGAGGCGATGCGGAAGGCACGGGAGGCACTGAAGAGTCGTACGGCGGTCGTGGGGGATGGCGGTGAGGTGGTCGCCCGCACCTTCGCCGAGGACCTCACCGGCAATCAGAGACTAGTGGGACGGGTGAACAACGCCCTAAACGCCAAAGATAACTTGAAGGAGTTTCTTTCGTATTATTACAAATTATTTCAGCAGTTTATTACCGATCGAACCAAGTTTGAGCTAGAGTTACCCAACTTGACCGCCAATGATAGACGTGTGCTGCATTTTCTGGCCAACAGCTGCAACCTTGGTCATGAGTCGAAGGGCCAGGGAGAGAAGCGCGCCTTCTTCTTGAAAAAAGACACCATTTTCTACGGGAAACAGGACATGTACCTCAACGCGGATCTCGAGGATATTGCCAAGAATGTTGTGAGCAAGACGTCCAAGTATGAAATTCGGTTTGTGCACCAGGCGGACCCGACGGAGGCGCAGCGTGGGGCAATTGGTAGTTACGACGACGAGGTGGCCTTGGACGGTATGCTGAGGATGCAGCGCGCCGCGGATGAGTACCGTAATGCGGTCCGCATGGGCACTACCACCGAGGAGTTGGTCGAGAGTGAACAACCAGGGAAGCGGTTGGAGGATATTCTAAAAGGGGACACTAACTCGCCCTTCGAGCGGGAGACCCCTCGTGCGGTCGCCATGAAGCTATCGGCAGCCAAGACGAACACAGCGGTGGAGAACACGACGGACAGTGTAGTGACCGTCCCCACCACTAGCGGCACCACCGTCCACTACGAGCTGTGCCGTTCTTGTGGGAGCAAGTCACTGCTGACCGGGGATGTCTCGCAGTGGTCGTGCAGCAAACATTGTAGTGTGTGTGGACGAGAGACGATATGGGCACTGGAGGAGGTACGCGCCGCCGCGTCCAAGCGAGCTAGGGCCGCGGAGGAAGAGGAGGAAGGCACAGCGCAGGACGAGGAGGCGCTGGAGATAGACAGAGAGGAGGAAGAACCCTATGAGCTGGACGATATGCTAGAGATGATGGCCCTCAATGATTATTGCACGGAGGATATTGACGCCTTACGTCACCTCGGTGATTGTTTCCCCGCGGAGGAAAGGGTGCTGCACTTGTTGTTTCTGAGTGACTGGACGAGTACGGCGCAGCACCCTCTTATCAGACAGCACAAGGCAGGACAACACAAGAAGCTCAAACAAGAGGGAGAGCCGCCCGTGTACGTGGTCCTGCGGGAGTCGACCGCCGTGTCGAAGCGGGTGACGGCACTTCTCACCGAGATGCTCTCCTCCTGTTTTGTACACAGCGCCGCACACGACAACCAGGAGGGGGCGCCGGCGCTGGATAAGGAACTACCCCTAGAGGAGGCAGCACGCCACGCCGTGGTGGTATGCCCTGTAGGCTCCAGCGTGTACGGGAAGGAGGCGGTGCTGCTCCTACAGCTGCAGCCCAGCGGTGGCACCTCCGTACAGCTGTCAGCGCAGGCACTAGAGGACCTCACCCGCAAGTATGGTTCTCGCCACGTCTTCTCTAGCAAGAATCTGTCAGAGGCTATAAAACACGTCGACGGAAACAACTGAGATAAACAAACAGAATACACTATAATATAATTAGATCTTCGCACCGAAACAGCGGACTATACACTATCCTTATCCCTTCTCCGTACTTTTTTTTTTTTTTGTATTTACTTGTTCTGCTTTTTTTCTTTTCTGTGATATTTGTCTCTCGCTCTCTATTCCATTGATCACATTAGACTTCACCGACGATTCTCTTCACTATAAACGTCAAATAAAATAGTTCGAAATGAGACGTCGTCTCACATCTACCATTGTCCGACAAACCATATTCCATGATACATCACTATTACTGCAATATGCCTCCTTGATTAGCCGTACCCAACACTGTAACCGTAGCAAAAGACGAGACCGTGGCGCGTTCGCCGCTAGTCTGCACGTCACCATGCGACAGGTGCATACGGACGAGGCAGCGGCCAGCCCCGCCATCCAGAAAAAAGCGGCCTCCCCTCCCAAAACACCGGCAACTACTCCTAACCGTCTTCCACCAGACCATAAGAACAATTCCTATATCATGAACAACAAGGCTGCCTCCCCCCTACCGAAGGCGGTGGGGGTGAGCAGCGGCCGCAAACTAGCCCCGAAACCACCACCCTCCAATAAAGCCAAACCGCAAAAAAAGAGAAAAAGGATCACGAAATAAAGGAAGAGGTGTTCAGTGGGACGGCGAAGCAAGAGGCGGCGCTGAGGCGGTATTACGAGGAGATGAACGAGTCTATCGTCAACATGAAGAAGGAGGCCGCGAGGAATAACGCGACGAAAGGGGCGAATGGGGAGGCGGAGAAGAACACACCGTCTTTTATTCCCATCGATGTCCTCAGTCGTTTCTACCCCACCTCTGCGGAGGCACGACAGCAGGCAAAGTCAGACCGACTCCGTGCTGCGGACCAGCCGGACGGGGCGGTAGTCCCCTTGAAAGGAGCCGTCCCTATGCCAGTGCTGCCACCGACCGGCAAGCACAACCTGGATGAGAAGACGGCGCAGCTCAACACATCCCTCCTCTTCGCCAGCTACGAGAAGGAAATGTCCAAGTCTTTTATTAATCCATTCTCCGGCAAGCTCACTAGTATCCACTCCCCGGTAGGGAAGACACTCCTCTCGATGGGTTTCACTCGCATGGACTCGAACCCCCTCCGTCTTCAGTGGAGCCCTGTCTTGTACCTCAATGGGTTTAACGAGACGCTCAAAAAGATTCAGAAAAAGAGAAAGCTAGACTCCACAGAGGGGATCACCAACAGTGAGGTGGTGGCGACGATGGGGAAGCGACTTGGGAAGTCGGCGCAGCTGTGGCAGGAGCAGCTGATGACCTTGCTGAAGCGCGACGATGTTTTTACGGTCATGACGGCCGAGTTGGAAAAGCGGTATAGCGCGTTTGTGCAGGTGTACATGCCGCCGCGACTAGACAGTGCCACCGACCCGTCCGTCAGCGGCACGGTGCTCACCCCGGATCAGTCCAACGTGCTTCTCCTGGCCGAGCGAGGCTACAACATCTACATTGGTGGTAGCGCCGGCACCGGGAAAACGGTGCTCCTCAAGTCTATTTACCGCAAACTCAGTCAGGAAGGACTGCGTGTGGCGGTGACCGCGACGACAGGGGTGGCGGCTGTGCAGCTGGGCGGGTGTACCTTCCACTACGCTTTTAACGCCCCAGTCGTGCTCGACATGTCGCGACCACAGCGGTGGGATGCGACGGCACTGCGGGCGGTCGATGTGGTCATTATTGACGAGGTGTCGCTGCTGAACGCCTCTCGTCTGGATGCGTTTGATATGGAAGCCAGACTGGCGCGCATGAGCCGTGCCCCTTTCGGTGGTATCCAAGTCATTCTGTGTGGCGACTTTCTGCAGCTGTCCATCGAGGGCCCTGATCAACTAGACACCCAACCGTTATTTCAGAGTCAGGCGTTCAAGAACTTTGTGCAGCTACGACTGGTGACCCCAATGCGTCACGCCGCCGGGGACCCGCTGTTGGAGCTGCTGACGAAGCTACGACGGGGCATATTTGACCAGCGCATGTTTGATCAGCTGAACCGTCCCATTCCAGCAGACACCACCCACATCACCTACATCTTCCCCCGTCGCCGGGAGGCGAAGCAGCTCAACGAGCGCAAGCTAGAGGAGCTGCAGTCCACCGAGCACGTGTACATTCCGCAGAGAGGACCGCTGGAGCTGGTAGGAACGTTCACCCCGTCTGCGTTCATTGACATGCCCCTCGAGGCGACCTCCCTCCCGTCGCGTGAGTTGGTGGTCCAACTGCTGCGGGAGGAGATACTCGAGGTGTGTCCGGAGGCGGTCGCCGTGAATGAGCTAGACTGCGTCATCATGCCAGCCAGGACGGCGCATGTGTCGATGCTCATGCGGGTGCGTCACCCCGATAAGCAGCTGCTCCATCGCATGACGCCCTCCGGCCCCATCTTAGGCGCCTCCGCCCTCAAGCCAGGGCAGTGGGAGCAGGTGGCGGAGAATGTAGCCAAGAAGGTGGGCGGTAGACTGGTGCGCATGTACGACAAGGAACCGCCGAACCTCATCCCACTGAGTGTGTCCATGACGCTAGCCGATATGAACAGCTCCGATACATCCGATGTGTTGGCACCCCTCCGCCTTAAGTTGGGCTGTCGTGTGATGATCAACCGCAATCTGTCCCGGACGGTGTCGAATGGTAGTGTGGGTGTGGTGGAGGCCTTCTCGGAGCCCGACCCGACCCTCTTCCCTACCGGTATAGGATCGTACTCCTTTCACCAGCTGAAGGAGAAGACGCTCTTCTCGACGCTACCCGTGGTGCGCCTCTTAAGTGGGGAGGTCGTACAGGTACCGCCCATCAGCGTGGCCTCTGGGGGGACACCCCTCACGTACTACTACAAACACGACGTGTACCCCCTACCGCTGCAGCTGGGGTATAGCTTCACCGTGCACAAGGTGCAGGGACTGACCCTGCAGGGTACCGTCGTGATGGACTGCGCCAACTTTTTTGACTGTCCCCACCTCCTCTACGTTGCCTGCTCCCGTGTGCGCTCGCTAGATCAGCTCATTGTGTACAATGTGGAGGCACGCATGATATCGGTGCGACGGTCGGCGCTGCAGTTTGCAGATGGGTTAGCGGAGGCACACAATCCAGCGATTTTGATCCCACCGGCGGATATGCCCCGAGCGTCGTGGACGGAGCGCACCGCACAGAGAGTTCTTAAATTGGAAGAGTAATGCTATTAGTTTTTTTTTTTTTTCC